TTGCTGTATTTTTGTCCACCCTGACCTCGACTCGGTGCCATTGTTTGTTGGAATGCGGGAAAGGTCTATTACCTAAAATCTAAAATCCTTCCTAGTACAGAATCCAATTGGAGACAAAATTAAAGCGACTGTAAAACTACTGTTTACTACATACGTCCCTTTCCAGGCTCAAGAACGCTTTCTACCCCACACACCAAAACCTCGTATGATTTTTATCACACAAAATCACAAATGTTACCCCGGGGGGGAGGATGGCGATTTCAATGCAAAAAGCTTAAGGTCGGGGATGCTCCTTGTCTCACTCAGAGGTGTAAATCACGGATTTTGTCTCACTGAGGGTGTTCAGGAAGGAACGCTTCTAGTTTAAACTGTCAAGGTATCTTTTAAAATTGCTCTCAAAGAAATAAACAAAAACGCATTCAAGACCGTTTAAACCGGTATCTTTTAGGGATAAACACATGGTATAGTGAAGCACGAGCTACGCCCAGGTTGGTCTGCTTTTGGGGTTCAATGCAAACTTTCTGACAATCATCCTACGACGGACTTCCTTTTCCACATGGAAGTCTCGGAAATGTCATTAACTTCGACCATTTTAATTTGCTTTACCTTGTTTCCTTCCAGTCGAGCAAGGTCGCTGAAACTAATGCTGAGCGCACTTGTAGCGGTCGCCGTGAACATTGCTATGACGACCAAACCAATCAAGATCCAAATGACGCCAAACACACGACCCAAAATAAACTTGGGAGTCTTGTCTCCATAGCTGAAAATTGAAGAAACACTGAAAAATCAATATAACGTCAACTTCATATGAGATTCCGATTTGGGATAACTTTCTCAGATTTATAATGCAGAAGGGTAGCTAGAGACACCTGTGTTTTCTAAGGAAATAATGCACTTTTGCGTTCTAGAAAAACTGCTGCATTGTTTTCTTACATTTCATGGAACACCACCTTCTATTCGGTAAATGCGAGAGAAGTGGTATCGTAATTACAGATCTAGACATTGAGACTTGTAAGGGATTCTCTTTTACCATGTCTCTCTAGATCGATTTTAAGCATGCTTTCATAAAAACAAACGCAATGGGCGCAGGCTGAAAATTATCTTCGATGCGGCCCTTAAGTTGCTCATATGTCTTACCCGACCGTCGTCATGGAGACAAAAGCCCACCAAAATCCTTCATAGCAACCTTTTGTAAAAGAACGAGGAAATTCCTCTTCGTTAAAGTACGTTTCCTGAAAGAAACAAAATCTAGGGTCTTGATTTCTTAAATTTAAAGTGATAATACTTGGTCTTCTGCCAGTATCCATGTAGACTTAGCTCACACTAGCGACATAACGACATGAGAAAGACGTTAAAATAAATATTGGAAATCTAAAGGGGTCCGTGGCTGCGTGGCACAGTAAGCAGGTCACAAGTTGTGAATTGTAATAGCTCAGTGCCAAAATAAACTCAATTTTATAGCAGACGTCATTGACGTGTCCTATTCAGAACTGAGGAACTTAGCACTGAGGAAGGGCAAACATCCTGAAATAACGACATGAAAGCCACATTAAGTACATTACACCATTGGCTAGCTGTGATAGCCAATAGAAACCAGGCATTTTCGATCCGCCGTAATGGTACGCACCACGAGAATCTTGTGCCAAGTCACAGGATGTCTAACATTTTCACTTATGTACGAGTTGCGCTAGCAACTACAGGCGTACATAGTATTGTAAATATGATATCCGTTATAAGAAGCAACGTACTGCACTACTGAGCAAACAGTTCTAATGAAACAGCCGGGTCCGGCGTCACAATAGAATGCAAGGAAGCAACATGCTCACGGAATATTTCAAACTTTTTCCCTTGAACGCCACTACTTAGAGACTTATGGTAATTCCTTAGTATTGCATTGCGCATCCCTACTGTGCACGATTTTCGCGTCATTAGCGCGCGCACATGAGCGCGTGTGCGTACAAAACGTGAGAGATTTCCCTCAAACTAAGCTCGATAGCGAAATAAATGCTCCATTTCTCTTCAACGAGCACGGTGACACCCGATTTTTTTTCTTTCTGTTTTTTTTTTTTTTTCAGGTATTTGCTAAGAACAGTCAAATAAAGATCATATTTGAAGAAGAAAAAAAGTATGATAGTAGGACATGCTTTTTTTTTTGGAAAATAGTTCCGTACTGGGTATATTTTGGCCAGGGCGTGGACTTCAAGCTAACCAAAAAAAGTGCAATATTCCCACAACCAGGCAATCAAAAACGGCTTAAATGAAGCAATGTTGATTATGTGAATAAAAGAAGCTTTACATTCAAGATAAAGTTTTGTGTCTTTCAAGTAACCAAGACTAAATTCTGTATGGAGATGATTCGAGTTTTTACCGCGTAACCAGTAAAAATACCCCATTTTAAGAGCCTGCTGACACGTAAACAAGCGCGGTGACCCCATTTTTTTTATTGCAATTTTTTAATGTTCACATCATGAATGGTAATTATGCCAAGTTTCAAAAAAAGTTTGATAGTAGAACAATGTCAAGGGAATTACCTTAAACACATCTCTTGTAATAGAAATGAGCCGATACAAAGTGTTAGCACATAGCAAAGTAAAGAGGTGTCAAACTCTGCGAAGCGGCATGCAGATAACAGCGCTAACCATGCAGACATCACCTCTAAACATTTGAAAAAGCTCAGTCTAACGGCTGCACTCTACTTAAAATTCCTCCTAATAACACAACATCGGCAAATGTACAATTGTCACGAATCGTAGGACCCGTGTAAGCCCGTCAACCCCATCACCGCCGACCGGCTAGCTCAGTGGTAGAGCAACGGACTAGCGTGCGGGAGGTCGCGGGTTCAAAACCCGGCCAGACTAACACTCAGGGTCTTTAACAAATTGAGGAGAAAGTGCTGTCTTTGTACTGACATCTGCAAATAGTTAGACTTTCTAGTCTTTTCGGATAAGGAAGATAAAGCGTAGGCCGCGTTATTTGAGCAGCCTAAACAGGCGAAACCAACTAGCAAGTTCATGCCCCCACGGAAACAGATACGTACTCAAGAACTTTGTGATCAAGCAACACAATCTTTTAGTTACACGCGATTTGTTTTTACATTCCATAGCAACTCTCGCATCTGTTTTTGCATCTCATAGCAACTGATTTTTTTTTTACATAACAACTGTTGTTATATCACATAGCAACCTTCGCTTTTAACTGCCAGTTCTTGTAATTTAACGGTCATTCGTTGATATTGCCTGATGAGTGTAGTCATTCTTTGCCAGTTTGTCCATACGAAACAGCATTGTCGCAATAAAACGATGAATTGAAATCTTGCTACCATTGACCATTATAATTACTGCTCCTCTCAGGGTTGAGCGCTCCCAAAGATTTATTCTATTCAAGTTCAAGAAGTATGTATGTATGTAATGTATTTTACTTACCAACATCCAGACACNACTCCAGATGGCCTAAAACAGCATATTAAAGGATTTGAGAGAAAAACATCATCAGGTGCCCCTGATCATTGAAACTGGAGGAAAATGTTAGGGCTCAACAAAAAAGCTATATCCTCAACAAGTTAACCGTACTGACTAAGCCAACTTCTTCTAGCCTTGCTGTAAAATCAAGCATGTAAATAATAAGAAATATGGTCCTAGTTAAGCCTAGAAACCTTAGTTTGTCAACTAACACAGCAGAATCCCGATGTTTTGAGCCAGCTAAGGACATGGAAATTGGTCTAAAAAGCAGGAGGTTTGAATAAACGGATCATGCATTTCTCCTTTCTTTTGGCCAAAGGGAGAAACGTCTTAGGAAAATTAGGGAGGTTAAAAAAGTTGAGGGTTTGAAAACCAGGAGTACACAGTAGTTAAATAATACTGATTTGAACAATAGTTGGTAGATCTTAAACATTCAATTGAGACAAAACAAAGTCGCTATTGACCTACCAATTCCTTTTTCAATATACCAGTCTGCCTTCTTACGATCCAGTGTGCACAACCTTGATCCATCAGGGGCGGCCAGCATGCAGTTCATGTAAAGAGGCGACTTTCTTATAGTGCCTCTCTTGTAAGGTTTTCTATCCAAAATCTCTCCAGGATCCTCTTTCTTGTTGTCTTTTTCTATGACCATGACTGGTCCTTTCTTATCCTTGAATGCAAGATCAATGACTCCCTGGCAAAGAGAGCTTGCTCTTTGACAAAAGAATGAGTCTTGTAGAAGATCAACAACCTCTTCTCTAACAAGATAGCCTTCTTTCCCGTCATGTCCTGACTCCCACTTACTTAGATCTGCTATGATATTATAAACTTCACATTCCACATCAAACTCGTGACCATTAGAATTTTCAGCACTTTGTAAGATTTTGCCACAGGTTTGAGAACCACTGTCTTGCACAGCCGAAGAGCTTGCTCTTTTATTAACAAAGTTAATGTTGTTCTTGTCCCCATGACTTCTGTTTTCTATGAACTTTTCCTGATCTTCTGTAACTTCAAATTCAAGGTCATCAATTGTTCTTCTGGAATGTTCGATGTCAGGTTCTTCTTCAAATGAAGTTGGGTGATACGTACCTGTAATGTTATTTCCTGAAGAATTGTTGGCAGGCAGTTTAGTGCTGATCTGATCCTGAATCAAACCAGCTCCTAAATGTCCACTGACATTTTTTTCCTCACTTGTGGAATCCTCAGAGATACAAGCAGTTCTAAGCACTTTTCTCTTCTCTACCTTTGCTTTTGCCAGGCTAAGAAATATGTGACTTGCAACTACGGCATCATTCATGGCATATTCAATCTGCCTTCTGTCAAACTGCTCTGCTTCCCAATTGCTACAGCGAATTCTCCAAGACTTGTCCATTGTGACACCAAGAATCCTCTTCGCTAATGCATCTAAACTCATCTTCTGCTTCCTGTCAAGCAAAAGCAAGGAATGACTTTCAATGGCGAAAGAAAATGCAAAGCAGTGTGGATTCTAGGGGATGTACCAGTGGTGTACTGGCCTGCTGTGCTGCCAGATGTGTCACAGAATCTAGCGATGGAGACTGTCTGTGACTCAGGCTAGACGTAATAGAGGGTGGTCATGGCTGGTGTAAAGGACAAAATGAAATCCTTGGGGCATTTGGTAAAGACCATAAAATCTTGATAACAAGTGTCCCCACCCCCTCACTGATTTTATGACCAACTAAAAAACCTTCTGTGAAAGGGGTATGAATTTTTTTTTTCTGGCACAACATATCAAACCAAGTACATGAATGGTTTGATTTTTTTGACAGATTGAAAGGATGGCAAATAAACTAGTCAAAAAAGGAAAAAACTTCATTTATTTTACTTTGTTGCCATTAATTTTATGCTGTTGACTTGCTCATCAATGCCACTTATATATGCTCAAAATGTATGACTTCTGCTGCATGCAGTGAGAGGGCAGTAGTGCTAATCTATATGAGGGGGATAACATAGAGTCCTCTACCACAGGTTACCAGAGGCCAATCCATTGCAGGTGCATCTTTTTGGCAAAACAGGGGCTGGGGGCAGGGGGGCTAAAAGGCCAAAACATTATTTCTTCAGTGGAGAACTGGTTCAATCCAGGCCTCCAAATTTTCACTCTGATTAGTGCTCCACCTTGTACTGAGTCTGGATTGATTGGCAACCAATAGATTTGTACCACTGTTTAGAGATTTCTTTCTCAACCCAGGAGATTTAACTGAAGAACAAGGCACAAAGTTACAAACCAGCAAGCATTAGCCAAACTGTAAATTTGGATTGTATCATATTTTATAGCCTGTGAACACAGACACATTTCCAGCTGTCATTTGGTTCTGCCAAAAATAACGTCTGCGAGCCCGAGTGAGAGATTGAGTTCAGTGACCTCAGCTCTAATTAACCAATCACATTCCACCTTGTAACATCCCACAGTAACATGCAAAAAGCCTTCGTGAAGCTTGCCCAAATGTGTGGAAAAAAATGGTGGAAGATGTGTTCAAGAAGTTTTATGAAGTGTTTTGGTTTGATAGCCTCAAAAAGTAACAGACTTGCTTGTAAACAGCGACACTTGAAATATGTGGTGCCAGAATGGCCAAAGGAGGTATTAACCTAAACATTGAGCTCTAGAAGTAAAAGTTTGATCCAGCTAATGCAAGAAATTTCATTTACAACAGTTCCTACTAAACAACAGGGCCCGATGTCATGATATATAAAACGCAACTAAGCAACTTGTTCACACAGTAGTTCAAACTTTGTCCCCCCAGAACTAATATTAAAAAAAGCATATATAGCTTGCAATAGAAATGAGCCTACACAAAGTACAAGCTCAAAGAAATGAAAGCTCTAGGTACATCAAACTCGGCAGAGTAACATGCAGATAACAGTGGAAACTAAGCAGACCTATGACCCCCCCTCCCCCCCCAAAAAATGTAATAACACTGTCAAATAGTGCTTCTCTACTTAAAATTCCTCCTAATAACACAGCCTCAGGTGCCTTTCAGAAACATGTGTGAAGCAAAAAGGGTTGAGAATCCTAAAATCAAAAGAGAAGAGCAAATGCGCAAATGTCACGGACTGTGTAGGAGTTCTGCAGGCCTGTTCCAAAAAAACTCATTTTACACTCTTGCGATTGGTAATTGAATGGCTTAGTGCAAGACTGACGTAAGTGACTTTTTCGGGTGAAAAATAATTTTTTTTGTTCAAAAGCGCCCGAATTTTTGTGTGTCATCTTCAGTTGAGTAGAAGAGCATAGCCCTGTTCATTTTTTCAGCTGGTTTGCACTTTGTCTTCGGAAAAAGAAAGAAACATTAGGACAACGGTGACTTCAAAACAATAATACAGGGCCGCAAAACGAAATGGATGAACACGAGCCTTAAAGAAAGATGAGCCTATAACTTGACAGTTACAGTAAAGGTAACATAACCCCACGGCTAGCATTGGACCTAAAAGCAAACCCTAACCCTTGGCCTAGGGTTAGCATTTAGTCTTAGGGTTACCAATTTAGTGCTAGGGTTTAGGGTTAAGGCTAGGGTTAAGGCTAGGGCTAGGGCTAGGGCT